TATATATATATATATATATATATATATATATATATATATATATATATATATATATATATATATATATATATATATATGTATTGTATGTATGTATGTATGTATGTATATATATATGTATATATACATATATATATATATATATATGTGTGTGTGTGTGTGTGTGTGTGTGTGTGAGGGTGTGTGTGTGTGTGTGTGCTAGAAGTTTTAAATTATAGAATAATATATTTTGCCATGTTTTACTATGAAGATCATTTTTTGGTCTTAATTTTAAGTTCTTTTGTAAAATTGGCCTCTGGCTCCAAGATCATTAACTGACATCAATATGAAATTTCACTTTGTTGTAACGTTTGAAATGAAGAATAGAATTTTTATTACACATTTGTACTTGAATATATATATATATATATTAATCCTGTAGATTTTTTAAAAAATATATTAGTGACATAAAAATAAAAATAATATTATTTAAAAAACTTTTTTTTTCGGTTTCAGTATGGTCCTAGAACATGTGACTATAGCAGATAGCAAGTTTTTTGAATAACCTTCTTTTTATTTTAATTTGAAAATTGTGTCTGTATTTCTTTTATTTAAATCACTTTGAAAAAAAAAACAAACACCAGAAGTATTAATATATTTAAATTAAAAAAAACAACAACAGATTTTTGATCAATTTTAACAGTGTTTATTTCAGTGAGGGGGGACGAATTCCGAACAAACAATTCATTTTGGCTTTATAGTACACAGGCACTTTTTTCTTATACAGAGCACCACCTATTTTTTTTTACATAAATAAGGCATGTCCTGTACATACGAAAAAAGTGCCTGTGTTACTATTTATAAAATAGTGGCATGAAAAACTTTTATTTAAAATATTTATTGATGGGAAAAATCTGGCGATTACATTTCAAAATAAACACATAGTTTTTATAAATATCAATGAAAACTCAATATTTCGCATCACTGTCAAACATGCATTGCGCTATTTACGCTGATAGTCCATTTAGTCCATTGTTGCGCTATGCGCTGGTTAGAAGGAAATGTTTCATGTTTTGGTTAACTAATTATTTCCGGCTATGGTAGAACAAGTTCCGGTTTAGTCTAGAGGGAAAAATGACATTGCTCGATAACTTTCTTAGGCATAGGACTACGCAACAAAGAAAACCAATCCCAACTTGCATAAAGGAATGAAAAATGATGAAGCATCTTGTAGATTCTACGTGGGAGCATGATGTATGAGTATAAGAAATTAATGTTGGCGATGCTTATATGTATGCAAACAAGAGATAGAGTGTCAGTAGAACAAATTTAAGCCCCCCTTTCAGTTGATTGTGGTTTTCATAACAAATTAAAAACGATATCTGTGATACACCTCTTCTCCGGGCAAGTAATATGGTTAAGTGATATCTGGGAATAGTATTTGTTTATGACCCTCACTATATTTAATTGCTCTGCAAAAGCAATTGGACAGTGAAGATAACAGTCAATTGTATATTATGCCTGTAGATCTAATGTTCAAAACACCTTTGTGTTGTCACATACAAATTAATTTGAATTCATTATGGAAGATAAAATACTTGATAAACTATGCTCAGACATAGTATTTTTATACCATTATTACCACATACAATAATCTAGCTGCTCAATTTATTAATCCCATGGGATTAAAAGTACCCCAGTATATACTTTATAGGATTTTAAATCCTAAGAATAGCAAATAAGGGATTTTTAATCCTATTTCGCCTATTATGGGAAAAAAATCCTGTGAGAGAAAAAATTTCTCAAAGATTTTTTTCTCCCATGGGATTTTGGTGGGATTTCAGGTGGGATGAAAAATTCCCCCATTCTCCCATGGGATTTTAGGTTTTAGAAGAAGTTTATAAGAAAACTACTAGATTAAGGAAGTTGTGATTGACATGATGAGGTCAGAATAAAAAAATCCCACATAAATCCAGAAAAAAATCTAATGTATGTCTTTTCGAAAGGGTAACTAAAAGTCCGGACTCTGTCTTGTCCAGACTTAAATGTCGCAGTGTTTATATAAACTTTTCTTATATTTCGGCAAATGTGATAAATTCTATAAATTCCGCATAACCTTAATCCTTCCTGAGTCACAGTCGGAGATGGACAGTTAATCCCTTAATTGACTTCTGTTTACATTGATTGATAGTTAATCTTTCATCTTCTTTAATTCTATTATATACATACCGCTAAAATGTCACCATTTGCTCAATAATTGTTTGATAATTGATTTCTTTATTCTTTCTTGTTAATCCTTTCATGTTGTTCTCTCTTTGTTCAGTATGTATGTTTTGTTGTTAAAAAATATAGTCAGTTGGAAATTTGGAATCAGACCTTCGGCGCTGAAACATACCAAACTCATGTAAAAGTATTTTCCATGCGTTGTCTATATAAAAGTACAAAAACTATCACGCGTGTTAGCTTGTTTGAGGTTTTTATGAATCAGGGCTCAACAATAAGAGGAAAACTCACGGTTGGCCCAGAATAATTTTTGTTTAACGGACAAATTCATATCGTAATATAGATCCCAATCTGTCTTGAATCTGCCTTAAAAATTGTGACAACGAAAAAGTTTCATATTACTACTCGAATTCAATTATTTGATTGCACTCGAAAAATGATATTTTCTGGCATTAAAATTTGAACAATTAAGAAAAGTATTTTAAAGTGTTAAACTTTTACTGCATTTAAGCAGTTTGATCAAAGATACTTGAGTTTCAGAATATATTTGCTATGTTTGTCACAATATGATGATAGAATTCATAATAGTTATTCTAATAAATATTTCAGGAGCAGCATAAAATATTTCACTGAAAATAACTCTGTGTGCATCCTGCATGAAAAAATAGGTATCCAATCTTATTAATAATGTAAATGTATTGAAAGAGAAAAATTATTTTCTTCTAAAAATCCTTCCGCCACAAGAGTTCTTCAATTAATACTTTTTGTATAGTTAATCGTAGTTTGTATGGTTAATCGTAGGCATTTTATTGTAGCTTAACTTGCATTGTAAAAACCAAAGTTATTTTGAGAAATAAAATATGATGTATTGTTTAATGATTTAATATGAAACTAGTCACAGGATATTTTATTTCCAAGTGTCATATATTAAAATAATTGCCACTTGATAAATATGGATCGATTTAATGTTTGTCTAGTCGCCCGCGTGGCGTAGTGGTTAGAGCGTCTGCTCTAGAGTCGCGAAGTAAGGAGTTGATCCTTACGTCGCGGGTTCGAATCCCACTGTGGGACGTGGAGACCGGTCCTTCGGATGAGACCGGATAAACCGAGGGCCCTTGTCGCAGTAGGTGCTGGCACGAAAAGGATCCCTCCCTGCTCAATGGCCGTAAGTGCCGAGTATAGGACAAAATTTGCAGCTCTCCATCGGCAAGTGGTGGCTTCTCCATATGAGTGAAAAATTCTCGAGAGGGACGTTAAACAACATACAAAAAAAATGTTTGTCTAAAAGAGAGTCCAGTATTAAATCATTTATGATATATGTCAGAATATTTTAGCTCGCACATGCATGTGATGAATTTTGATCGGCCAATACATTTAAGACCGTACATAAGTGTGTAGTTTTTGAGAACAGCAGGTACCTCACTGGACTGTTTATTAGATGTTTCAAGGATTGCTCTATGTATTATTAGAGAAATGTGTCGGCATTTTGTTTCTTTAAATTGCTACTTCATCAGAAAACGTCCTTTTTAAGTTAAAAACATTATGAAAGTAAACGTGGTGATAACTTTATGTAGCTAGCAATGTTTAGGGGAAACCTACAAAATATTGCACACAAGCCTGAGTTTTCTTGGAAAATACACATACATGTACTGTATAACTGGTATACTTGCAATCTCTTTGATACAGCCTGTTTAAAATTTGACTAATGACTGAGAACATAGTTTTCCTTTCTTTGTGTTCACTCTCTGTGGACAGAACATGATAAAATGGTCCCTATCACCTTTAGTTTTTAGAGAAACTCTGGATTTTACGTTACATCTCATTTGATCATTCAGTACACTTCATTTGATCATTCAGTACACTGTACAATGTACAACATTTTGTGAAGAAACAAAAAATATTTCAAAAATATATATTTTTAAAAAATGTTTTCTATTTTCCATCTATTTAACTCCTTTGATTTATCCTACCACCCTCGAATTTTAGATCCAATAAAATGCTAATGTATTATACCTACTTATTTTCAGAATCTGAGTATCAAAATGTGTTTTATCCTTTGTATACCCTCATCTTGTGTGATATACAGCACTACAAATTGTACAAAATAATAGTTTAAAGCCTCTCCGATATGATATTCCCTATTTAGATGAATTAATTCGGTATGGTTTGAAAGGTGAACTTACATTGTAATTTAGACGGTATTAATTCATCTGCTAATCTTTGTAGACATATGGCGAGGACTGCCTTTTTCAACACTGCATTATGACGTCTTGTGCTTATCTGTAAACGAGAACCCCAGTAGTATTGATGACATTCATATAAAGTCGATAGCTAATCTTTCGGGCAGACTAAATTACCTGCGACCAGGTAAGTGTACTCTTTAGTGATCGCTATACTGCTAATCATAGTTTAATATCTGTAATGTAATTGTTGATAAGTAAAAGGGGGGCAGGTTGAAAAAAATGAAAAATGTAAAACAATCCATTTAAAATGAATACTTTTATGCATTTGTTTTTGACAAAGGCTCCAAGAGATCGGTAAAGTTTTGATAGTTTTGACGCCATCCTTCGAGTACCAGGGAGGAATTCGAAATTTTAAAATTCATCCTCCTGAATGATCGATTGAAAAGGGTTTATTTGCATTGTATCCAGCCTCAATATGACATGAACTCTGGATAAAACTCATAATTTTTTGTAAATATCACGATTATCATTTCATTTACTAGATACTGCGCGAGTTGCTGTCTACACAACCTGAAGATCAAGCAGTATGAAAAACTTGACTTGGTCCGAAAAAAGAACCATCTTTTTTAAAGCACTAGGATCCAGTAACTCAGTTTATTTGGTCAACAGTGCCTTTGTTGTTGTGTACATTTTATATATAAGTAAACAATATCTCCTGGATCTGCCAACTGCTCGAAAATGTGTTGTCTTGCATTGTACCATTTTGTGCTTCTTAATATATCTCAGCCAAATGGAAATCCAGCTATCTTGGCAAGTTGTATTTACACTTCTTAGCTTAGTCGTCACTGCTATGAAAACTCCAGCAAAGAATCTGCCAATAACAGATAAAGCAATTCTCATAACAGGTAATTGTACGTGTACTTCATGGCTGATTCACTCTCTTCATTCTGAAAGTAAACTTTTTTTTTTTTGACCTGACTGTTTCATTTAATGAGACTTTTTTGTCTAATTTAAGGAGTAATGACCCTCTGCTTTAAATTTCCAATCTTTTTTAACTTTTCAAATTTGATTTTCACCAAGAGCTTTAGTATTAGATTCAAATGAAAAATAGTATGAGGAATGAAGCTGCGCTGATTTTTTCCGAAATGGCTTAATTTTAAGTCAGACCATGAATATGGAGAGTAACAATTTATTATCACTACATAAAATTAAAAATAGGAGGTGAATATGAAAATAATATTCCGTGTCATATATGTCAAGCCCTTTTGCTATTTATTCGGGAAAAAAAAATATTTAAGATTACAGAGATTTCTTATTTTAGAGAGAAATCTCTTAAAAGAGAGATATCTCTCAACTTAAAGATATTTCTCTCAACTTTAAGAGATATCTCTTTAAGAAAGTTATGTCACTTTCACTTAGAGAGATATCTCTTATTCTTAGAGAGATATCTCTTTTACTTTGAAAGATATCTCTTCCACTTAAAGAGATATCTTTTCCCCTGAGAGATATCTTTCAAAGTAAAAGAGAGATACATGTATCTCTTAACGTGAAAGAGATATTCTTTCACTAAAAGAGATATCTCTTTCACTTTGAGAGATATCTTTCAAAGTTAAAGAGATATCTCTCAAAGTTGAGAAGATAGCTCTCTAAGTTTATCTTAGGAGATAACTCTGAAAGTGAAAGATATATCTTTTGAAAGTGTCCAAAAGAGATATCTCTCACGCAAAAAGAGATATCTCTTTACTGAAAAGAGATATCTCTCTCCGTTATTTTTTTTAAATTGCATTTATAATGACTTCTCCCTTTACCGGAAGTTTAATATTCACGGAAATATATTAAATCAGAACGAAAGTAGAGACGAAGCAGTAGGACATGCGGTGTTTTGTGGTATTTGTGAGCAAATGACTGACTTGCAGGTATATCAATGAGAGGGTCGTGCCCCTGAATCATTAGTCATGTGCTCTACCAATTGAACTATCTGGCCACCAGAAATTGAACCCACTGGAATGCCATATATAGATCTGTGGAAGTCTGAATTATCCAAGTTTTATCAATAAAACAGGTTTTACTCCACCTATGTCAAGTGACCATACATGTACTTTAACAATTAACTGTATACACTTCAAGACAAAACTGCAATCCAAGAAGAAATTATAGTCCTATTATCAATCTTCTGGCTACAGAAAAAAAATCACTTGTGATGTTAATATAGATTTTTATTATGTTTATTGATACAATGACCTTATTTAAACTTGTAGAATATCATTCTCCTATGCGGAGTTGTCGTTCGTTCCCCTCTCAAACACTTCGACTGGGAAACCCGGGTTAACTCGAGTTAATTTAAATATACATCATGCACACGCACAAACAAATTTGCAATAGAACGGGTTAATTTCACACCATGTGTTGTTACGAATGTAAACAATTTGGAAGTAAAATCGCTGCAGTTAGCTGGGAAACACTTTATGGAATGAATTGGTAATTTTGGTTTGAAATTATTTATCGTGCATATTAAAGGTCAAGTAGGAGTATAAGTTAAATACTAAACCAGTGGAATTTATCTATCTCTTTCAGCTCTGATATTTTAGGGTAAACAATATGGCCACGTCAGGTTCAGTTGCAGCATGTTTATGCGTACTGGATATTTGTTTTTAGAGGATAATGTGGAAGAATTGTATTGTATCGATAGAATGAATGATTATATAATTCATTTACTTTCGATGCCTCGGAATCACATCCCCCGTATTCAGGACTTTGTCGAGGAAACTGTGTCAATGTATTCCACTGATGATTTCAGAACACATTATCGACTGATCAGGACAACAGTCGAAATTATATTACGTATTATTGCTCCACGTTTGACAGCAGTACATGAAGGAGGTAAGGAGGAAATAACACCAGAAAAGCAACTGCATCTTTTTATTTGGTATTTGGCCAATCAAGAGTCCATGCGAGAGACTGGCAATCTTTTTGGTGTGTCCCTTTCAACTGTACACAAGACAGTTATTAAAGTTACCAGTACTTTGAAAAAGGTGTTCTTAAATGTGAGTGCAGCATAAAACAAACTTTTTATAATGCAAATTTAACTATTCATAAACATTTATGGTGCTTTTTTTCTGTTCTAATTTTACACAGTTTCTTTACTACAGGTAATTCAATGGCTGGATCAAGCAGCACAGAACACAACTGTACAATCATTTCAGTTAGCTAGTGGCTTTCCTGGGATCATTGGTGTTCTCGATTGGACCCATATTAGATTGAGTTCACCAATAGGAGGAGATTCAGATTATATAAACCGCAAGGGGTATCCATCAATTCAGTAACTGGTTTGTTTATGTATTAGTTATTAAGGGCATATCATGCAAACACTGTGTGCATACTGATGGTATATTTTTAAAATTCCTGTTTTAGATTGTTGTAGATCATAATCTCATGATTTTAAGTGCTCATATTGGATGGCCTGGATGTGCCCATGATGCGAGAGTTCTACGGAACAGAACACTCTTTACAAGAGGTGAAAATGGAGCACTAGCACCACAAAATATGCACATCATTGCAAACTCTGCCTACCCCTTAAGGACAGACGATACGTTTCTCAATAATTTATAATTTTTTCTAATATTTTGTCATTGTAATATTGCTACTTTAACATGATTACTCACAAAAAATTGAGGTACCTTACCAGGCATTTGAGCAAGATACCAGAGGATAATTAGCTCTACTGGTCAGAGACCAGAAGAGCTTATGCGATAGTAAGATGTCCGTCGTCCGTCCGTCTAGCTGTCTGTCTGTTTGTCTGTCCGTCTGTCTGTAAACAATTTTTCAAAACGCTACTCCTCCTAATGTTTTGGTCTGATTTCAATATTACTTGGCACAAAAGTAGACTACACTCAGATACATAATTTAGTGCATCGGTTTTTGATTTCGATGAACGTTGTTGCCATGGTTACTAAAAATAGAAATTTCTGTGACGTTCATTTAAAATGCTACTCCTCCTACAGTTTTGGTCTGATTTCAATATAACTTGACACACAAGTAGACTACACTGAGATACATAATTTAGTGCATCGGTTTTTGATTTCGATGAATGGTGTTGCCATGGTTACTAAAAATAAAAATTTCTGTGAAATTCCTTTAAAATGCTACTCCTTCCACAGTTTTGGTCTGATTTCAATATTACTTGGCACGAAAGTAGACTACACTAAGATACATAATTTAAATCAACAGTTTTTGATTTCGATGAACGGTGTTGCAATGGTTACTAAAAATAGAAATTTATGTGAAATTCTTTTAAAATGCTACTCCTCCTACAGTTTTGGTCTGATTTCAGTATTACTTGGCACACAAGTAGACTATACTTAGAAACATAATTTAGTGCATCGGTTTTTGATTTCGATGAATGGTGTTGCCATGGTTACTAAAAATAGAAATTTCTGTGAAATTCTTTAAAACGCGTCTCCTCCCACATTTTTGGTCTGATTTCAATATAACTTGGCACACAAGTAGACTACACTTAGATACATAATTTAGTGCATCGGTTTTTGATTTCAATGAACGGTTTTGCCATGGTTACTAAAAATAGAAATTACTTAAAAAGGCTACTCCTCCTTCAGTTTTGGTCTGATATTAAAATAACTTGGCAAACAAGTAGACTACACTAAGATACAAAATTTAGTGCACCGGTTTTTGATTTCGATGAACGGGGTTGCCATGGCTACTTAAAATAGAAATTTTTGTGAAATTTCTTTAAAAGGCTACTCCTCTTTCAGTTTTGGTCTGATTTCAATATAACTTGGCACACAAGTAGACTACATTAAGATACATTGCTGCGTGTTGCAAAGTTTCAAATCCAAGTGCTACTTTTCCTTTGTTATATGTACAGACCAGTAGAGTTACATTCTCATCAGAGACTTCTGGTTTTTCTTATATAATCCTTTTGGAAAAAAATTAATTTGACAATATCAAATTTTTTAGTGTTTGGATTTTTTAAAGACGATTAGAAACTGGTTTAGAAATCAGAAGGTAATTAAAATTTTGAATATTTTTCATACATTACGAAGATATACATAACAGATATTTGAGGAACGTATCGTCAGACCTTAAAACGATGGCTTATGACACCGTATAGAAACAATGGGAACTCGAGTAATCAGCAAAAACGTTTGAATTCTGCTCTCTCATCTTGCCGACAGACCGTTGAAAGGGCAATTAGCCACCTAAAAGTCAGATTTAGAAGACTGAGGGAAATTTGTTTTCATGACCCCGAAGTGATATGTTCCTACATAATTGTGGGATGTATTATGCATAATCTATGTATCATACATGATGAAGACATAGAGGAATTTGTTAATGTGCAACAAAATCAACATCTAAACCATTTCAACAACATCTTTCCAAATACTCAAGGCGGTGTACAAAAACGACAGCAACTTCTGAACATGTTGCGATAGAGCTGTGACTAATTCCTGTATTCTTCACACGAATCTTAAAGTTTATGAATTAGTAAACTCATTGAAAGAAAAAAATAACTCTGATGGTGACTAGTGTTATCTGGATGAGACAATTAGTTGTAATTAGCTCATTTTCATTTTATTTTGAAATAAAATGAAGAATTTTCATAAAAGAGTTGTTGTCAAAGTTATGTCTTTTCACGTTGTCAAAACTTAAGATTTTTTTAATTGCATAAATAACTGCTGTCCATTCTAAGAGATTTAAATTTTGAAAATGTTTGAAATATATCAATACATGTATATAAAACACATCTTTCAAACTTGGAAATAGGATGCAAACTTTTCGAACAGTCCTCGTATATAGTGGAGTTCATTTCAATGTATTAGATAATAACAATTAATAGACATCACATTTAAGCTTAACCGTTTATTTTAGGTAACAGAAAAAATAATATCATCATAACAACTGATACAGAAGTAGATAATTTTCTCGATTTCAAAAATACAGTGAAAAGAACCCTGAATTTTTATCATAAAGACAAAGTCAGTTTTTCAAGTACATGTATGTGAATATCAAAAGTCATACCTCGAATAAAAAAAAAGATATCTGTTGGGTGAATATAAGCCACAGAGCTCACCCAAGTCACTTTGGACCTGCTGTTCTTTCTCAGCACATTGTTACAGATATCACTGTGATCAAATATTTTGGACCCATCATAGCTTCCCCTGGAGGTTATGATTTGAACAAACTTGAATCTACACGAACTGATATTGCCTCCATATAATTGTGAGTAATCATAGCTTTGCTGTTCTTGAGTAAAATTTTCCGAATATGTATTTCTACATAAAATTTTGATTGACCATTGTCACCCCATCCTACCCCAGGGGGTTAATGTATAAACAAATTTAAATTTGCACTGTGATATGAAGTTTCATAAGTGAGTTTCAACTTTTCTAGTCCAATGGTACTTGAAATATTTTTTAAAAATGTCATTATGTTTTCACTCATTCTTAGTCATCTCTCTTGGAAGCGGAAGAATGAAATTCTTAACCAAATAATGTATTGTGGCAAGTTTGATGAAATTGTTCTGATTTCTTGAGTAAAGGTAAAAATGGGCAAAGTTTACATACGACATAGGACAGAAATATACGGCAGACGGACGCTGAACACTTTTTGATCAGAAAAGCTCACTCGAGCCTTCGTGCTTCGGTGAGCTAAGAAAGTATTTTATTGTTTGTATTATTGCATTGAACATTTTTTAAATTTTCTCCTTGTTACTTGAAAGAAAATTCAAATTCAAGCAAGAATAACAGCACCAGTACAGTTACAGTATGCATAAAATAATGAGCCTCCATAACCGTAATTACTAATTAATTTTATCTTAGGTTTTAATCTTTTTTATTGGACTGTTCAAAGAGATCTAAAAACCTATCAAATCTCGCCATTTTCTCTTTTTGTTGTTCTTTTAGTTCCTGTCTAAATTCTTCTGTTTTGTTTGCCGAATCTCTCATCATTTCCATGGTTTTTATTCTAGGAGATTTTGATTCTTTGGTCTGGTTTTGGGTTTCTTAGATGGAGGCTTTTTTGGACTGTCCTCTTTAAAACCTTCATCATTTGTATTTCCACCATCATTATGATTATCTGTACCAATTACAAACTTTGGTTTTGTACCATAAAGTTGACAAAATGTGTCATTGTTTGTCATTTCCAATTTTATTGTTATGGTCCTCAACTTCTTTAAATTTCTTCTTAAGGTTCTTCCATTTATCTTGTGCTTGTTTTGTACTTAGACTGACATTGTTCTCTATCAATTTCTCTGTCAATTTCTGCCATAGTGTTGCATGGCTTTTGGAAGAGATAAATTCCTCTTCCGTATTTGCTCTTACTTCAACCAAACTCTTCTCTTCTTTCTCTTTCCAGCATTGGAATTTTGACTCTTCGTTCCCGAGATACTTTCCTTCATCTATTCACGTTGCACAGATTTTATTTCTTTCTTTTTTTCATTTTCAGCATCCTTTCCATTGCCCACTTCATTTGTGAGAGACTTTTCTTTTGCCTTGTTGCATTTGATCTCTTTTGTTACAATATTTATCCCAACTTATCTTACAGATGGATCTAAAAATATTATCACTAAATAATAAACATTGTTATATAAATAGTCCATTAAATGTGGATTGTAGGAAGGAATTCAAAATTTACAGGTCATCAATTACAATTCCAAAATGTATATGAAAGAGTATACTAGGTGTTTGTCCTATTGCATGTACATGTATATATCTAAAGGAGTAATGTAGATTTCTGCCATATCTTATGAACTGTAGAAATATGTCCATAGGACATGAATGCCCCGCCGAGGGTATATTAGTAATGCAACATGAAAATTTGTATTAGTGTATGAAAATTTGATGAGAATATCTTGAAAAGTTTCTTTAAAATTGAAATCTAAAAAGGTGGATATAGATGATAAATTCTAATCAAATTATGTATAAGTGCATAAGCTTACTTAAATACATCTTAAATGGTTTCTTAATTTAATATTAAGCAAAATGCAAATTTAAGAAAAGTAAGGTCAAGGTCACAGGAAAGTGGTAAAAAATGTTGATGCAGTTGAAAAGCTCTCATCAGTTTGTATCAACATATGAAGTTTGATTACACTATCTTGAATGGTATCTTTAAAAGTGAGCTAAACTCTAATTTAGGAAAAGTGAGGTCAAGGTCAAAGGAAGGGTCAAGGTAAAAAATGTTGATGCTGTTGCATAGCTCAAATCAATATCTATCAGCATATGAAGTTTGATGAAAATATCTTGGATAGTTTCTTTGAATCTGAAGCTTTGAAGCTTTGAACTGAGCTAAACGCAAAGCGCGACGGAGAGACAGGGAAGGATGGAAGAACGGAACACGGACATGACAAACACTATATGCCCAGGCCATATTCATGGCGGGGCATAAAAATAACATATATTGTGACTATTTACCAAAAGTAATGCAATTAAATTTTCAAATCTATATGCACATTATAACTTGCGTGCTTATCAAATAAAATAAAGTGAGAAGGTTTTTGGCAAAAATAATAAATTCAATGTACATCATACAAGTTCAATAAACCTATTAGAGGAATTG